CTGGGACGGAATAGAAGAAGCTTTCGCTTAACAGGCTTCCGTGTCTAGTAGCAGGGGATCACCAAATCCTCCAGGCAGGAACCTAGGTGTTTTACCAATAAAAGAGGAAAAAGAAATTGGTAAATCATAGTATGATGCTGTCCTTGGTCCTTAAGAATAGGCCAAGTTGCCTCTTGAAGGACTTCTGGGGGATCGCTTGGACTAGTTCGGCCGGCAGCGAGTTCCAGTATTTGACAACTCTTAAGGAGTAGAAGTTGTGTCTACAGTCCGTTCTGCTATGTTGTGTCTTCAGTTTTCGGGTGTTACCTCTTAGGTTAGTGTTTGAACTAAGCTCAAGTGGGTGTTTAAGAGGATGTCCAGAAGTGTTGAGAATAATATAAGCCATTAATAAATCACCTCTAAGACGCCTATACTCTAATGGGTAAAGGTCTAGTGAATGGAGGCGTTCTTCGTAAGGTTTAGATTTGAGTCCTCGAACTGATTTCGTGGCTCGACGTTGGATACGCTCCAAAGTGACCTTGTCCTTTGGGAGTGAGGGGGGAGTACTATGTTTCCGTACTCTAAATGGGGACGGATGAAACTATTGAAGACTGTATGGAAAGTTCTTCCGTCGAACTGTCCAAAAATGTGCTTCAACGTTACCGGTGCAAGGTTTGCTCGGAAGGCATTTTTGTCACAGCTAGCGTAAGACTTTAAGTCATGGGGCACCAGGACTCCTAAATCTTTTTCGACTTGGGATACTACTAGAGACGAGTTTCCTAAGTTATAACTGTAGTCTGCGACATGTCACTTTACACTTTGAAGTGTTAAAAATAAGTCCATTATTATCTGCCAACTTTGGAGTCGAGTCAGATACTCCCGAAGTGCCTGTATATCGTCTTGATTGATTGTCTCTCCCCAAAGTTTAACATCGTCGGCAAAAAGTAATAATTCTGAGGTTACCTGTTGAGAAAGATCATTTATGTAGATCAAGAAGAGAAGAGGTCCTAGTACTGAGGCCTGGGGGACCCCACTAGGACATTCCATAGCCTGAGATATAGTGAAATTAACCCTAACCTTAAAGTGTCAATTTTTCAGGTACGAAGTAAGCCAATTGATTAGAGGTGGTCTGATACCTAGTCGTTTGAGCTTACTGATAAAACATAAATGGTTAACCTTATCAAAAGCTTTTGAGAAATCTAGGTAGATGATGTCAATTTTTCCCTTGCGAACGAGGATGCTCGTCCATCTGTCCACCGCAGTCAGCAGGTTGGTATTACAAGAGTAACACTTCCTGAAACCATGCTGTTGGGGTGAGAAGAAATGTAAGGACAGTAAATAGTCATTTATACCATCGCATATCAAGGACTCCATGATTTTTGAAGGTATTGAGAGAAGAGCCACCGGTCGGTCAATTGAAGGTTCATTGTGTCGACCTCCTTTGAAAATTGGTGTGATGTGAGCAGCCTCCAAATTTCCGGTAGTTTTCCTCGACTTAGCGAGTGTGAGAACATCACGCTAAGCAGTTATGCCAGGATTGAAGCTGCTTCTCTCAGTATTGCAGAATGGACCATATCCGAGCCAGGAGAAGTATCTAGTCTTGAGTGCTGCAATTTACGGGACACCAAGTCAGCGCTTAGGTTCACTTCAGAAAGTCCTGTGGAGTTGGAGATGAAACTGTCGTCAATAAAGTTGATGTCAGCCGGTTGAAATGTTTGAGAGTAATGGGCCGCCAGAAGGTTAGCGGCGTCGCCATCGTTGTTGGTCGGGCCGTTAAGACCTAGCAGTTGAGAAACTCCTGTTTTGGCTTGACAAAGAGAGGCTGCATAACGGAATAGGCTTCTAGGGTTAGAGGCGAATTTGTCCATAAGCTTTGTTTGGTACTGAAGCCTGTCTTCTCTTATAGCCTTCGTGCATGTGTTCCTGATATGTTTGTATTGCCTATACGCTCCATCGTTATTAGTTCGTTTGTATTCCGCCCAACAGTGCCGTTTGCGGCTTACGAGGCGAAGGGTACGGTTCTTGATTACTGTATGTGGCTTGAAGCTTTTGGGAACCGTTTGAGGAACTGAATGGTCTGTAGCACATAAGAGCGTGTGCAGTAAGAAGTCCCAATGAGCATCCACATCGATTTGAGGGTGAACATCCCAAACCACCTGTTGTAGATAGTCATGTAGAGCTGGCACATTCAGCCATTTAAAATTCCAACGCAAATTATTGTTGGGATACCTTAGCTTAGTTTTGATGACAAAACTGAAGGCTATGACGGCATTATCGCTTTTTCCCAGAGGAGCCAGGATTGAGAGGTTGTCGACTAGGAATTCTTCGTTAGTGAATACACAGTCTAAGCGCGATGGTGTCTGACTGTTTCTCCAACGAGTTGCCGACCTCACATTTTCATATAAGCCCAAGTTATCGATGAGGTTGAAGAACCGAGCTTCAGTTGAGTTGTCGCCTCCAGTGTACGTGTGTTCCGCGAAGTTGACTCTAGGGAGATTAAAGTCCCCTAGAATCAGGATGTGTGTGAAACCGAGACGGATAGAGCGGGATAGTCCTTCCAGCATACGACTATCGTACTCGGTGTCGGCAGTTGGCTTCCTGTAAATGACTCCGACTAGACACCTGGAAGTACTAGACAATCTTACAGAGCACCATATGGATTCCTCAAGATTGTAAAACTCGAGGTTGTAAACCTGGTGCACCTCCAAGCAAGAGCTTATGTATATGGCTACTCCGCCCCCAATTCCTGTTTTTCTGTCGTTGCGGAACAAAGTCATCCCAGGCAATGCTAACTCTTGGTCCGAGAACTGAGAAGATATCCAGGTTTCAGATATTCCTATCAGACGGGCCTTATTAGCGTTATTAAGTTCGCGTAATTCATCCAGTTTGTTTGGTAGACTCGCGGCGTTCATATATAAGCAGTTTATGCTTTCAATTTGGAACGCGTGAGCTTCTTACTGTTTGTCTGTATGAACCTTATGTGAATGGAAAGGTAGCCCACCTATATGAGGTTTGCCGAGGTGGTAGGCCCTGTCCTTTACACGTTTTTTTATCATTTAGATAGTCCGCAAGTGGAATGGTCAGCTCCAACTTGCCTTCGTGCTTGGTCCTAGCTTCGTTTAGCCCAGGTGGCAATCGGCGTCTGTTGGCACGAAATGCTTCCAGAACTGCAGCCGCCACGTGGGAAGATGGGAAGGTTATCTTCATTAGACGGGGTTTAGGATCACCGCCCTTCTTCGCTAGTCTCGTCACATGCTGAGTCAGTATGTGTTTGAGCCTCAAGGACTGTTTGGTGAATTTGCATTCCCTGATATCAGAGTTTGCTTGAGTAGGGTCCGCATTTTCCGGTATACCTTGCAAAATTATGTTTCTTACGCGGAAAAACTTCTCGCGAGATTCTTCAGGGGTGTTCCGTATGATATTGCTCCCAGAGTACGGTATGTCGGGCAAGTGACTGGCCAGCAAGATGTCCTCTACGTCGGTAGCATTCTTAAGTGTTACTCGAAGAAGCATCGGGTAATTTAGATGCTTAGAATCCTTTCCTCGAGTGAGCCGGGTGACCGTCAAAGGCTCTGTTCTGAGAAGGTCGAGCTTGTTGTCCAATTCAGCCCAAAGCATCCTATCATTTTTATCCTGCAGACTGAGATGAAGGTCAGGATTGTCAATGAGGTTCATGATTATGAGAGAATCGTTACGAACTGTTGATTTACCAGGTTTTCCGATGGGTTCAGGTTTAATACATAGTTGTTTGGAGGTCAAAGCACGTTTTTGAATGTTGGGCTCTTTGATAACCAGACGAACATTCTTGGGGGTAGACTGTGCGACCAAATCACCAGTTTTATTCCGTACAACAACACTTGGGATGCTCAGCTTAGGCGGTGACACCTGGTTCTTTTGGGCTCTGCTAACGTGGGTCGAATCACCTACAGGGTTTTTGGGAACCACTGTTGTGTTCAGGGACCCTGAGCTGGGAAACCCGAGTTTACTAAGGGAGTCTAATTCCGTCGACGTAATTATGGTGCTGAGCTTCAACACGTCATCATTAATGCTAATGGATGCTCCATCGATGGTATGCCTGTCGACATCCCTAATCTTGTGTTCATTGCGCGCTCTTGCTTGCTTATCCGTTTTTTACTGTCGTTATCCAAGTTTGCTGACAACTTGTTCCGCAGGCCTGTCACTAGGACGATGATGTTACTCAGCAAAACTACAGTGTCCGTGCTGCACGTGACACATACCCACTTTTGGTCCGACTTGCTTAGTCTGTTGTAGGCAGTTGCCGTTAGATCTGTGCACGCTTCGTGGAACCAACCTTTGCAATTGTCGCACTGCATGCCAGTTGTAACAGCAAAAGAGCATCCCGGATGTTTGCATGAGTTTTTCATGACTATGTTGAAGCAAACTGTGATATAGATGCTTGCAAAAGCCCAAGACCGTAAAAATACACTAAAAAGCACACTGAAAACGGACAAAAGCGGATAAAAACGAGTGAGATAAACTGAATAAGTCTTTACGTGAAAAACAAAAAAAAACGAATAATAAGCTGAGGCAAAACCACTGTCAACTATTATATATGGTGAAGCTAAAAAAAGTGATCTACCGAACCTATAGCTCAGGATAGATCCTATAGAACTGAAATGATACTTCTGTTGCGTAAGAACACAGCAAAAGTTTGATAAATGCAAATCACGTTAGGACTGAACTTCCTGTTCGAAAAGCGCGCGTCAAAGTTATGTCCAATAAAACTAATGAGGTCATCATCACTGCCAAAGATTTACATAACCGTTTATTTTCAGGATTTACTTATCACTACATTAATTTCAAAGAAAAAACTGTTATAGAATAAAAAGCAAGACAAAATGAACACTTAAATGAAAAGGAAACTTCCTGTAGGCCCTCTGTAACAAATTTGGTTTTGATGTTGAAACTGGTTACCTAAATATGGGAACGCCTGAAAATCATGATAGTTTGCGCTTATTCAACTAATACCGAGCAATTCTGATAATCTCCTCTGTAAAACAAGTCGTTCAAGGTCGTTGTGACGAAAAGGCGGGCGGGTGGGTCTGGAAGCACCTTTGTTATAGTAACGGTATTAACTTCCAGTTTCGAATACCAGGTTGTCCTAATACGATCCCTGTGTTATTTCTGATTGTCGTCGGTTGTTTCATTAATAAATGTGAATGCATTCCTTGTGCTTACTGAGTTCTCGGCCCATATTTTCTCTTGTTAATTTGGAAAAGAATATATATTATTCTCTAGATTAACATACTGCTCTTCACACTACCCCGGGAAAATTCGAATTTTCCCCGAAATTTGGTGATCGGGTTTGTACCGTTCCTTTCGGCAACACACCAGCCACATAACGGCATCGATCATTGTCATCTTGTACGAACAGAGCTCTTGTTGTACACCAAAACATTCAGCTTTATGAAAGCATCGTGAATCGGTCAACAGACTTCCCACTCGAAAACATATGTAGGTTTTATTTACTTCATATAAATAAAATATTAGACTTCCGTTTACAAATCCTAAACCCTTTAATTCCAAGTGTACGTCGAAAATCCACTTGATTACCCCAATTTCTAAACAACTTACCAATACATCACTTGTAAATTAATATGGGTAAACTACTACGTGAAAATTCCCGCGGCACTCCATAAACTACAAATTGGGGTTGTCTGTATCTCAGGAGTATGAGGGTTATTCAAACTGAGAACTAGCTTGTGTCAAGTACTTGAGTTGTTAAACCATAGCATAATCAATAAAAGTGTTTATTTGGAGTAGTAACTATTCATCAGACGTTAGTCGAACGAACTTCCGTTCATGAATTGAAATCACCAACAATTAATACTTTACTCACTAAGTGCTTAGATTTAATCGTGTTGTTCTAATATTACTGCACTTCATCAATGGCTTTGCTTTTAAAATTTCATTTGTAATTGATATCTCTTGGTATTTTGGAGTATCATCGTTTTTTACTTCTAGTTATTGGAAACTAAATACGCCCACACACTCCTCTACATTTTTGGTCAGGCTTTATTCTCACGGAACTGAACTTAAAAATTGAAATGTATGTGTTATTAGGTCGATCACCTTCCCTTATTTTAAAAACCATCCGATTGAGTAGAATATTCAGCACAAGTTGTAAACTGACCTCCAGTAAGTCAATATCTTTTTGAATAAAACCAGATGTGTACTATACCAAAAAACACGAGTGGATCAAGGTCAGTGGTGATGTTGGAATTGTAGGAATTTCTAAATATGCTGAACAGAAACTGGGTGATATAGTGTACGTTGAGTTACCTACTATTGGAGACAAGATCAATGTTAATGGTATTTACTGGTATTATGATAACTAAAAGTAGACCAATGTGCCGTTGTCGAATCAGTCAAAGCTGTTAGCGAAGTATACTCTCCAGTGTCAGGTACCATAATTGAAGTCAATCCAGATGTTGAAAAAAATACAAAAATAATCAATCAGTCCCCTTTAGATGAAGGTACGTTATGCGTGTTTGAATCTTCTGGTTGCATACAAACATTTTCCGTCGATATAAAGTTGTATTTCTCAAAAGGGTCGTCAGAAAATTCTGCAGTGTAATTAGTTACTCAAAATAAGCACCATAAGCATGACCCCAAAATATCAAATAAATAACGAAAAATGAGATTTTTTAAGTAAGATCCAAGTCCATCCATCCCACTATTATCAGTTGTGAACCACGTCACCGAGCTTCCAGTTACAGTTTTCCAAGTACTGAGCATCCCAGTCAGGTCGCCTGTATCCCTCCAACGGAAAATCTGTTAAGTTGTAAATTGATAATTGTTATCTTCATCTGTTTACCCACCTTAATACTGTTTCATCTTGCATCAAATATGAGTACTGGTTTAGAGTAGATAACATATCTAGTCAACGTCGACTAGCCTGCTGTGATTACCCAAAACTATGCATCTGACCCCAGGATTATCGACTTATTACCCCCTCCCTATTTTAGCAACACTTCGATTTTGCATTTCCGACTACAAACTCCAGATTTCGATTATGGCATTTGCCTCTCCCTTACTAAATATGAAAATACTGCGACAGGAAATTATTATAAAGCTTACTTTGACGAAAAAAATGTGAAAATTATATTTCAACAGAAACCATTCTGAGGCTTAGTGGACCTTAAAGAAGATATGATTTGCTACAAAAAAACACCAGTAACAACTATGCACAACGTTCTATTTTAGGAAATAGATTTTTAATAAAACATTTCAACTAGCTCCAAACACGATAATAGGCTGAAATGTCTTCGTAATGGCTGCGAAAAGTGCTAGACAACATGATCCAAAGGAATGCACAAGGACGCAGTAGTAGTTCGCACCTAATTTCGGCTCATCAAGTAGACAAGTTCAAAGGTCGACCGTCGATGAAATTGCCACCAAATAGGCAGGCTGGTGATTTATTTTTAGACCGTTCTACCGAAATAATAGATAAAATGTTCCAAGTAATAATCCAGCTTTCCTCCGATTCTCCACCATCCCTCGTCTAAATAGTGACTACCTTATTGGTAACATATCTAATTAAAATTTTGACGTGCGATCACGCTCCATTAAAGTGCTCAGGTTTCATTCTCATGAAGCACGTTTAGGATTTAGTAAGCAGTGGTTTTGTTTCTTGATTCTAATCGCAGGTTGTTACTCCTGAAGCAAAACAGAATTGCTTATAAGACGACTTATTTCGTTCTCCACACTAAATCCGTAAATATGTTCCGGAGACGAATTTATTTATAAGAGGGATTACTTTAATTACTTCAAAACCATGACATTGATTTCCATCTCCAATTTGGTACTCTCGCTTATGTTGTGTATGTTCTTGTCACAAGGTACTAAGAAAACGTAGACCCGAAAAACTGTTTTAAATCTTATTATGGCAAACCGGATCTTCGTATATACTGCATAACAGCCTATGTTGTATAGTTAGTATTATATTTAGCCTTTTATGCATGTAAATATGCATAGAGAAATTTTAGCATTGATTCTGTCATCCTTGTTTTTAAAGCTAATATTTTTTTAGGAAACACATAACTTTTAGCTTAATTTTAACAGTTGCTGTTTATTTCATTTTCCAGGCTGGCTTTTCAAGCTTCGACTTTCAGACTTATCACAAATCAAAGACCTTTTATCTGAAGAAAATTATGATGAATTTTTGACCTCTGAATCTTGATGCTGTAACATATTCTTCAGTTCGTTTCTTTAGGCATTACAAACCCCCACCATTCTTATTTTGAACAATTAAACGTTATTTAGCGTATGATTGGGTTGCTAAATTCTTCGAGACCACCTCAGCACATTTTAATCTTAGTCTTATATATTTTTACTTGTGAATAGCTTCTATTTATAGGACATAAACGTCTGAGTACATAATGGCAGAGTCATAATATTTGTAGGAAGAGGAAAGAATCGTACAGCCTGTAAATAAACAGACACCCATGAAATTTCATTAAAGGTAAAGTTCGGTAGAAATACAGTCTAGAAAGTTCTCCACTTAAGGAAACCCATCTCACTTTTATGAACAATGTAGCTAGAAACTACAGTGTGATTTTTGGCCCGTGTATAATGCCTCAACATACTTAGTTTCAGCATCTCCAGGACCCCAACTAAGCAATCTTAATGGACCTACAGGTCTCATTCCTATTCGCCTATATTGCATATCATGACGCCATGTCATAAGCTGACCACATTTCCGCTTCCTCGATTTAGTCGCTGCGTCAGCAAGTAACGTGCGGTGTGGAAGGTACCAGAATAACATTAGGAAAGAAACTCGAAGTCAGTGTTTCAAGATAGTGATACTGAAGGTAATATAGATGTTTAAACACACTCCCAAACCTCAGCATTTTTAGCCTTGTGTTCTCACCGTATGTAAGCAATCCCCCGTAAACAGTGTTAACGAAACTCAGAGAATCTTCCAATATTCCAAGGTCAAAAATTCCAGAATTCATAAGCACAGACAAACTTCGCTCGCCGGTGCGTTATCAAACTTTGATACCCAATCTTATATCATTACTATGCCAAGGGGGATGCTGATGGACATAAGCCACCGATCTAAGATCCACTTGTCAAGGACTTTCCAAATTGTTATTTTTTTCGAATGTAAACCCTGTTACTATCCCGATAGTCTTCCGTTGTTAGGATGAAGGTAAATAAATGTTCAAATTTTAATCCTTGGGTTGGCTTGTTAGAAGCACTATGGATATTCAAAGCCTGGAATTCGGGACTGCCTGTCACGAATATTGTCATGAAAAGATGTCTCAGTATCAGAGCCGCGCTAAGTAGTTTGTGAGTATACGTTTCTCTTCTTGTATGCAGCAAGTCTCTGCATTGGGTTGCAAGGTGACAACTATCTTCGTTTTTTTTGTGCGGTTAACGTTTGCTGCGTGGTTGTACTTCGTTCTCGAGTAAGAAATCAGAATAGTCCAAAAGACTAGTAATTATTATCACTGATTACAATAAAAAACTACAATTTAACTGTGGCGTAGGTTCCCTTCAATTTATGTCTAACTCTCCTTGAAATGTACATTTACACACCCCTTTAATATGTATTGTAGTTAGGCCCAAAATATATATACAGTTCACGAACAGTTTAATGCAAGAAATAATCGGGAAACTAGTTGCACAATAGTAATTGGCAACGAAGCATCATATCTACATTTAGCGGTAATTGAAATAAATAATCCTTCTAGAGATACCTTTCGCCGCAGACTAATTTTACTTGAAGGACCGTTAGCTACGCGGTGGACTATCCTGAAAAAACCTTATTGGACGGTCGTGGCCCGTGAAATCAACTGAGTCGAGAGTCAGAAACTTACTAACTAATCACAGTTGGATACATTAATTTGTCGCAACATCCATGAAGTGCCTGTAACTCTTATGAGAGTATGATCGTCTACTGTTAGATAGACCAGACTTATATCTTTATCACCTAGGGCTGATTATTAGGGTCAGAGTCGAACAAGTAACCTGTATTCAGATTTACTTGGTCGTTAAATTTCTGGACGAGTCATTTTAGTCGGTCAGAGGTATTATTTATTTGAACACATAAATATTGGTACAAAGGAGAACCAGGTACGTATGCGCCACACAATAATAATGAGAATGTGAGGAGATAAGGTGCGTATACGAAAAAGGGGGACAGAGATTAGTATATGACTGAAATAAATAATAACGGGAGAGGCAGTTCAACTAGCAAAAGTACAGTCAGAGGGCATTCTTCCAGTTGAAGAGGTCACATCTTTCCTTATGAAGTAAAGTTACAACAGAAGCGCCACTGGCTTCTATTCTGAGCCATATCTGATAGTCTCTGGTCACTGTGTTGCACCATGTCTAGGACCCCGACCAGGGAGTCACGAAGGACCGACAGGAGCCAGCCCTGTACAGCTTTCATATCACGACACCATATGATACACTGATCACCAGTGTTGGCGAATAATACACGAGGTGGAATTCTCTGTGGAGACATTCGTAGGACATGTCGAAGTCGGTGTTCCAAGATGGTGACACAAACTGAACTATCGTCGCTGTGCCCGGACACACGATGCTACTGGATGTCAGCAATCCTGCGGAGACAACGATGATCAACCACAGAGTCGCCTAACATCCTAAACTCGGAGAGGCCAGGTTTCACAAGCATAGAACGAAACTGCTCTCACTGACGCGTTGTAGATCTGATGTTTTACAGTCGGGCTAACATCAAGTTTACTAGGATAGAGTGAACGTTTTGTATGTAACTAAGGTCATGCACATTATTAATATCCGGTCTCCTATTTTTGTCTAATTGGTCGTATTCCATATTTTCGCTCATGGTGAGTCACTGACAGTTCATCTGACTATAACTAAGAGTAATGCGTCTCTATTAATCGCAGGCATTCTAAGTCCAAAGTGACAACCCTTGTCGTATATAAGCTTATCAACAAAGCTATCCACCACGTTACTAAATTGGATAGTTTAGAGCGCAATTAAGATTTTCGAAATATATTGACCTTAATTTACGCAAAACGTAGTAACGAAAAATTTTTAACCTTTGGGTTGACCTGCACAAGTAATTAGACTTTACTATTATAACCACACGAACGTTTATTTCCTTGTCAATCTTAATATTTTCTCCACGTAAGTAGTTATATTGCGCTCAGCGAATTGTTAGCTTTTGGTCATTTCTTTTCTGTCTCCGTTACCGGTGGTGATCCCATATTTTGTGTAGTACATACTAGCTTCTAAACAAGTATGGTAAAGGATGAAGCATTACTATAAGTCTACCAAACTGCCTTAGTTGGCTCGAATCAAGATGCTTCGTCATAGCCGACTGATTAACGATATTAAGTCATTCATTCAGTTATAACGTAGGACCTGGCACATACATGCATCGGTCCAAGTTGCCACATACCATTAGCACAGTAAGACAAACTCCAAATACATAGAAGTAGTAATATATAAAAGGTTGCATATAAGGATATATTACAGGAAGAAAGAATTAGTTGGTAGAAAGAAGGATATGAAGCGATTTTAATCTCATAGTTTAAGGGAAGACAGAGTGTATACACCTACGCCATTGTGACCGATTCTGAGCCATGTCACCCAGAGTGTCCAACAATTGGTAACGATAGTCGCGCGTACCCCAACCAAGTAGTCTGCATCTACCAACATGTCTCAGACTGGAAGTTAGTGACTTCAAGGAGTGATGCCGCGTTTTGGTTTGGCCGCCCCTAACTTTCTTCCAACCATCTCCAACACCGGTCAGCATTGCACGTCGTGGTAATCGGTGTTCGGGCATACGTAACACGTGACCCAACCATCTCAGTCGATGAAGATTGACAGCCTCATCAACTGATTTACCACCATTCCCTAATACCCTACTTCTAACCTCACTATTACTTACCCGATGATCTCAGCAGATGCCAGCAATATCTCTAAGGCATCCGTGGTCAAATACTAGTAGCCTACGAGTGTATTCTGCTCTTAATGGCCACGTTTGGCAGCCGTAAAGTAGAACAGAACGAACTGCCGCACAGTATACTAGTCCCTTAATTGATAGACGGATATCTCGCCTTCTCTACAGGTGACGTAAGTTGGCCAAACGAGCTTTCCGAGCCCGTGCAGAGATTTCGTCAAACACCAATCCGCTATGGCTGATCAGACTCCCAAGACAAGTGAAGTTGTCAACTCGTTCGACCACTTCACTCTCTATCCTGAGTTCAGGTGTTGACGCAGGCTAGTCCTGGGACAACCACTTGCATTTAGATTGGGAGAATTGCATCCCAAACATTCTGGCATTGTTGCTTAGTGCTACCAAGAGACTCTACCTTTTATCGGCATCTTTGCCAAACAGGACTGTTATCCGCGTATTCTGAGTCAATAAGTTGACCTCTTGGTAGGAGATCAATGCCCGAAAACTCAGTCGACGAGAGCCATATTAAGTGAGGTGAACAAAATCGCTGCATATAAAGAATAGGTAAAATCCTGTTATCAATCCTACAGTATTCAAAAACATGACATGAATCAAGGTTATTGCTACAAAATCCCAACTGTTGGGATGGAAATCTACAAATTCCTGTTAATTCATCTACATAGCACTAAATGTGCTGGAAATCTTTCAATACTTGTCTACATTATAGTTGTATTGTGTTTTATGCACTTATAAAATTAAAAAGTACAACTTATTATTTGACTGTCAATTAATCACCGAATATTACTGTATATATCAGTTCTAATTCCTTTTGATGTACAGAAATGGCTTAAGCCATGTTAGCCTATATGAAATTTAAACACACCGATAATTCTTAACGTACTATACTTGGATCCCACCATATGTTAGCTACTGAACTCCAGGAAAGGCTCCTTTTAGAAATCTATATGATTGGATTAATTAGTTTCAATATTTTCTTTTACTCTTAAGTGGACTAGTCACTTATTAAAGGCGTATAACTAACGTAAAGTCTGGATTAGAACTACCTGGTAAATGGTGCATTAATTGAAGTATGCTTTAGAGAGGATTATTATCAATAAAGTAGTCAAATTACGATTATGTTACTTCTTTAGACTCGCGAAACCATCAGACAAAACACTCCTACCACATTTAATTACCTATTCACTAAATCAGCGTCATAATGAATGGACTACGGCTCGAAGTCAACTTAATGTAATTAAGGAATTGAATGCGATCATGTATATTCCGAAGCTTTGGGATAAAAAAATTATTTGCAGCTCAGATGCATGATGACTTTTTTGAAGCGCCTCATAATTCTGTGTAGAAAGAAAATCAAACTACCAAATAAATTTATGCAACTGTGGAGGTGAAATTCTTCTAAATGGGATAACTCTTCATCTTCCTGAATCCATGACTTTACAGATACTTTAATCTCCGAGATCCTTGGTGAGACTATAATTTATGGACGAGTGCCCATTTAATAACCAAGACCAAATGAGGGCTATAAACCTGCGTGAGGAATTAGAAGTACGACTTACAGTTTATGGTTAAGGTTGGGAATTAGATTTAGAGTTTCCATCACAAACTGAAATTAGCTATAATGCCAAAACTCTATTTATCCAAATGGATGAGTGAATTTAGCGCCGAAATCCGCCAAGATCTT